ACTCGGGGCCGGGAATGGTCTCGGACATGTCTGCAGGAGTGGGGTGAGCTCAGCGGGGCGAGTCGGCCGAGCGGCGGGCGGGCGGCACAGCGAGAGCAGCGGCGGCAGCTACAGCGATCCGGCACGTCAGCCGCTGCGCTCTAAATACCAGCACCGCAGAACAAAATGGCGGCGGCCGCCGCGTCACATGACCCTCGCCCCGCCCCTGGGGACCGTACCACTGCGCGCGCGGGGGGGCCACGCCCTGCGCTGGCCCGGAAGCTCGCCGACGCCCCTGCGCCGGGCCCTCGCCCCGCCGCCCGGGCCCCCACACCGCGCCCCACATCGCGGCCCACACCGGCCCCCGGGGCTCGCTGTCAGGGACCGTCGGCCCCTCGGCCCCTGAAGCGTTGGGCCAGTCCGACTCCGAGCCCGGGCGGGGCGGCGGAGCGCGTATTAGCATACTGGGCGTGGCCTCCCGGGCCCGCCTCCTCTGCGGGCTGCGTTCGGTTCGAATGTCGCTTTCTCCTCGCGGTGCGAAGCGCCCGGCTTTGCCTCCGCGTCTCTCGGGCTAAGCCACAGCGCAGCGGCGGGCTACACCACGGGCTCTTCCGAACATAGCTGGGCCGTCGAGGCCCAGACGCCGGCCTCCTCCACTCCTGAGCCCCAGAGAGGCCCCCTCCCCACCGATGAGGGCACATCACGGTGTCCTCCCCCTGGGGCTTCGGCAGGCCCCTCTAGGTCCAGACCCCGGTTCCAACTTGGTGACGTCACACCACTCCTGATCAGCAAACCGAGCCTCCTTCCCGGCACTCAAGTTACATGGCTGGTTGGAAGTCCTGACAACGTTGAGACCCTTTGGGGCCCCCCTGGGTTTCTGCCTGGCCTGGGATCCCGGGTCTGTTCCCAGAGCTGCAGGGCTGACTTGACCTTGGGGCAGGGAGCCCTAGCCCTGGACTGTCACTTCCCACTGCCCTCCCATGAAGTGTGCCAGGCCTTATTTCCGTCCCCCAACACCTTGGGCTTCCCTTGGATCTCCCCCTCCGCACCCTTTCAGCAGCCTTGTTAGTGGTGGTGTCTCCCCTGACACCCAAACCCTCATCCTTGTATTACAGTGCCTTCCCTGTGCCCATTATGGATGTTGGGATCGCCTACCCTGGTCTGGACTTTAAACCCCTCCTTCTAGGTAGGAACCCTGCCCCCAGCTCAGCTGCAAATCAACAGCCCTAGTCTCAAATCGGTCTGGTACGCTCCCACTGCAGAGGCAGAAGGTATACCTAGAAGCCCGCCCCCTCCTCCCTCTACCCACCCCCCTCCTTTTCTCCAACTGAGACATCTTGAGAGAGCACTCTCCCCTGCAGCATCCCCACCACCCCAGTGGCAGCTCTGTGTCCCCAGCTCCTTGCCCTTGTCAAGGTCATGGGTGACAACCTTTTCTCCAGGCAAAGGGACACTTGTCAGGCTTCTCCTGCCCTCCACCTCCAGCTCCTTCATCAGGCCATGGTTTCCTAGACTCACAAGGCAGGTGCTGAGCAGGCCCTCCCTCTCCCACCCCCCTCCCAGCCCCAGTAGCTCCAGATTAACTGCCCAGGCCCAGCCCTGTCTCTGGGCAGTTACAGCCTCACCCACCTGCACTCATTTACACTGACCGACCTGCCAGTCAGCTCCAGCTGTCTAGCCTTGCAGGCCCTCCAGTGGGCTGCCCAAGGCCCAGACCCAGACCTCTGGACACTTAGGACCCAGGCTGAGGAACCTGGACAGAGTAGGGCAGGCCAGAGCCTGGAAGGACCATCAAGGCTGCCTGGAGGGGGTGGCTTGTGAACAGGACTTTGCTAGAGGGACAGGCTGGGCTTGGCTGTCCACCCACAGGGACTTCGGTTGAGTGGACAGAGCTCTGAGGGGGTGGGGGTAGGGGCAGGCAGCAGTGCTTGTAGCTGGCTAAGGTTTTCCCATTCTCTGCCCTGGCTCTGGGGTATTGGGTCTTCCTGGGTCTTTGCTGGGGCAGGGTACACCTGGAACCAGCATGTCTCAAATTCAGCTAGCCCCTGTCCTTGTGGCCACCGAGGTCTCCAGCCAGCCACTTAAACCTAAGGTTTGGGCTGCGCTGTGCTGGCCCCCCATTTCACAAGCCATTACCTTGGCTCTCCTGTGTGTGTGTGTGTGTGTTCATGCAGATATGCACAGTTATGCCAGCTTTCCTTGTGCTTCACAAACGCTGCATCTTTTGCACATGGGTGGTCCGTGGCAGCCCTGTGGCCATTTTTCAACAGCCTGTGGGACTTCCTGTCTCTGCGGCCCATTTGGGCCATCCTGGCAGCGCTTCAAACTTTTCCAGAACGTCCCTGATTGCACCGTGAAGAGACTGCAGTCTGGGGTCCACACACTGGGACACTGGCAATTGGGAGTGATAGGCGAGATCACAACCTTCACTTTATGAATTGCAACCGAACCCCCAATCTCTTTGAGGTCCGTCTGCTTTGCTTCCGGAGAGAACCCAGTCATATTGATTGTTTCCACTCTGGGCCCAAACCACCATGCCAGCCCAGCACCCTGCTCCTCCTCTTCCTCAATTACACACCCACTTCGTGCCCCACCCCCACCAGCCTCTATGCAAGTTCTCCCCACCACGCCCTCTGGAGCTTTCCTCCACCAGTCCCTTCTTCCCCCTTCTAAGA